AAGGTTGTAAAGAAGCGGAGAACGCCAAGAGCTTTCACCGAACAAAATGTATATGATCCATCTCTTAGTTATGTAGTCTGAAAAACAACATCGAGATTATGACTTTTTTCATTGCATAATAGATTTCGGATCCTTATATGGGAATAGATCTGGACGAACGCATCCGCAAACAGCAAGGAGGAGAGGAAGAACTAAAACGGCAGCGTCAGGAGAAAAAGAAAGAGAAGAGGCAAAGTCCCCATATATAGTTGTCTTCTTGAGCTCTCTTTTTCGCTTCTTCTTTCGTCCACTATGATACTGTATTTGCACGTGCCCCACAAGCAATACTACAAAGCTGGCTCACTTTTGGTGCCTTATCTTTCATCCTTGAAGGACTCAACAAAAAGCAAACCACTTTGGCTCATTTTGTCTCCTTGATACACCAAACCAGAAGTCTCCAAGATTATTTACCACTCTCTTTGGCTCTTCCAATCCCACATGAAATTAAAGGAGCTTTCTCTTCTTTCTTCAACTCCGTAACAAGCTCGCATTTCCCGGCCCCTCACATTGGTTTTCTTCTTCGGCCTTTTGCAGATGGTTAGTTCGTAGCTTATACGCTCCTACTTTTAACTCCTTTTAAGATAGAAGATAAACTTTTTACTCCCAAGTTATATTCTCCATTTAATACTCTAATGATTCTAACTTTCCAATATCTTCTGTTTTTTTAGGTAGAGACGGATGGCCCCTCTTKCAAATGTTGTATTTTGTTAACAGAGTTGAAAAGTATGATSTAMACTCACACTTSAAATTYTGATTTAGCATTAAAATCTAATTTATTTGTTTCAGTAAACTCTCAAGTAAGGCATGTTTTCAMAATATCTTGGATTTTAGCTTTGAAATATCAAATGTTATTCCAACCTGAATTAAAGTGACGTATATGCAAATGGAAATACTATTTTGCTTAGTGTGGATTGGGTTTGTATGGTTTTCAAACACATTTCAAAAACATTGCCCGGAAAACAGTTTTTTTTGGGATAAAGGTTACCAT